AATGCGAGTTACGTATGTCCTTAATTCACAAAATGGAAACCCAATATTTTTTTCCTACTGTTTCGCATTCAAATTTTCCTAAATTATATTCTTACCTCCGTTATCTATATCCACTGAAAATGAAACTTGTTATTTCTAAAAGGGGAAATTTCTAAGGGGGAAACACCATTGAATGCTGAAATGTTTTGTTTTTGAATGCAAATTTTAGCCACCTGGTGTTTGTTTGAAGTTGTTTCAGATTCAGTTTCAATTTTGTGCAATGGATATCTCATCAGTATATCGACTTTCTATTTTAGGATCATCTACAGGTTTGCCTCAAACTTACAACAGCTTGTCATTTGCATTGTGGAAAAGAGGCCATACCACGAGACATGATGGAAGAACACCTGAACAAGGAATGTCCAAAAGCGGAAGTGCTCTGCCCTTTCACATCCCATGGATGTTACTTCAAAGTAAGTTAAATCTTGTAAAAACAGTAGCAGAACTGATGAAATAAGCACTTATAATTAGTCATGCTCCCATTCGAAACAATTTACTATGTAAAGGCCACCGTACCGCTGCATATATCAAAGTATATCAAAGTACACAGAAGCATTTTGTCCTCAGTTATTTAATACCTCATGGTATCAACATGGTTCAGCTAGGAATCAAGCAACAGGCCAAATTCCGTGTACTTTAGGACCCCTGCGAAGCTCATTTTCCCGAAAGAAACAAAATGAATTTCATGGTCTTGCGGTACATCAATTTAGCTACAGTTTTACTTGCCCTCTATAAAGCAATTTCCGATGTTCCGATAAATTTGCATAGATTCTAGCCACGTGCGTGAGGGAAAGCTATACGGCTTTAGTGAAAGCTAAAACGTGTTTTTGGAACAATTGGATTCCAAAAGACTATACCAAGGCACTGAAATTTTTCCCGCCGTCTGCTGCTACGGATGGCGTGGATCGATGGAGATGGATTGAAACTTGAAAAAATTCGGGCCAACTTTTTTGGGTTTTACTGCTTTCCTGCAAAAGTCAACAAAAACTTATCATGGTCAGTGCTCCCTTGATGAAAACTGTTTGATCTGCTCTTTATAACTCTACAAGAGCATTTTGGTTAAAGGCTCTAATTAATGACTTTAGCTAAAACAGGAATATCCTTGTGACATAGCTCCTGTACAGCCGGTCATTTCTAGCCAATCAAAAATCACACTTAACATTAAGAACTGTAGGAAGCGTCTTGATATGCTGCGATTGCGATATGGTTAAAGATATAGTGAGTAATGTTCTTTTATTTCTTTTTCTTTATTCTTTCTTTTCCTAGGGAAAAAGGGAGATCATCGAAGAGCATCTCAAAAGCACTGTAACGCTTCATTTGGAAATGATGAACCAGTCATATGTCAGGAGTCATCAAAAATCTGTGGAGTTAGCAGAGAGAGTAGTCCACTTAGAAGAGGAGAAAAATGCCCTAGAAAAGCAACTTCAAAATCAAACTGAACAACTTGTAGCTTCAAGAATTAACATTCAAACACATCAAACGAAAATATCAAAAATAGAAGAATTAGTACAAGATCATCGAAGGACGTTGGAAAAAGTGCATCGAGATTTGGAAGCCGTCAGCGGTGTTGTGCCATCGCAAATGGAGGAGATTCTCAACACCATAAGAGAACACGAGTTGAAGTTAAATGGCTTACAGTCTGACGTGGTTAGTCTCAAAGACACCAGGCTGATAATTGGAGAAAATGGAGAAAAGCCTCAAATTTCTTCCTCCTTGCATCACTACAAGGGGCGTTTGGACAGGGCTGAGCACCAACTAGCGTTACATGAAATTCAGCTATCTGAACAGGATCTTCAGGTTAGAATGCTGGAGGCTACTTCTTACGATGGAGATTACCTTTGGAAAATCGACCATTTTAGCCGAAGATTTCAAGAAGCTGTTTCTGGTAAAACACCATCTATTTATAGCCCTCCTTTTTACGTTGGACGATTTGGATACAAAGTGAGCGCTCGTCTCTACCCTAATGGTGATGGGATGGGCAAAGGAACGCACCTGTCAATATTCTTTGTTATCATGAGAGGTGAATACGACGCTTTGTTACCCTGGCCTTTCAATCAAAAAGTCTACTTTAAACTTATTGATCAGGACAGAGTCAAAGATGCTTGTGATTCGTTTCGTCCCGATGCTAACAGTTCAAGTTTTAAAAGGCCAAAATCCGACATGAACATAGCATCCGGTTGTCCAACTTTCATTTCTCACTCTAGACTCCGAGAAGGTGGATACATCAAGGAAGATACCATGTACGTTAGAGTGGCAGTTGACATGACGAATCACAATGTTAAGGGCAATTTGACGGCTTCCACATGAGGCACGTTCTAGATAGCTGTCATTTTGAACTTAATAGTAAATATGTTTGAAACTGACACCGATTTATGTCAACTGGACAATTCTTTTTAGTATTATAATAGTAAAGGGAAATGTTTATGTAAAACGGTTTTAGGGTAAAACTTTAAAAAAAAATACAATGAACATGAATAATTATTACTTTATGCAATGACTGGATAAAAGTGAAAAATCTCAGAAGAAAAAAGTGTCCCTCTCATTGCTTGTCAGGAAAACCAGGAACAGTGTTAACAAATGTCTAGTTATTCATAATTGACGTTATTTTGTCTCTGTAAAGCAGAATGTCTAATAAGTCTATTTATTCCTTGCAAAGTTATAAAATACTAAGTTTCCGATAAAACGAGGTTTTCAAAAGTGATATGGTTCATTTATTACACATAACTGTCATATTTAACATTTTTAGAGTATTTAACACAATGAGATTAAATCAAATTTTGAATATTAAATAAATATTAATATTTCCATGATTGACAACTTCTGTGTTAACTGGGTAATAAATGTACTACAATAAATGCATCCAACTCTCTATTTTATCCAATAGAGGGAGAGAACGGAAAAAAAGCACGAACAATTCTATCACAGCAGTAATATCTTTCTCCTGGTATTTTTAACTAACGGATTCAAATAAATCATGTAGATAATAATGTACTCTAGATGTTAAGGGACTAGCCCCATTCTCCTCATTAATCTCTGACTCTCTTCTGTCGTTATGGAACAGATAGAAGGAATTTGCATAGCTAGTAGAGCAAAAGACAGTTCTTTTGCAGTTGACCATAGAGAGGCTTGTGATTAAAAATGAGAGGAAGGATCAGAAAAATAACTCTGTTTCCTGCTACTCTGTTCCCACACCGCAAGAGAGGAGGAGAGAGGAGGACATGTTCAAGAGAAGAGTTAGAGAGGCCATCGAAATCTTTTGTCGGGCTCCAACATTGAACAGCTGGGGACGCTCTGATAATACGAGCTGTAAAATTTTGTTCTTGTCACGAGAAAATAAAGTTCATATCTTCAAGCCGCCGTGTAATGTTCTTTTTATTATATAGACAAAAAGACATGGGATTATTATCAGCAGCTGGCCAAAGGGTGTTATATAAATTTAATACATAAAAATACGTAACTACGTTAACTAGTAATAGTTGACACTACAGCTGCCCCCCGCTCTGTAGATAGTATTCTTCCTCCTTGTGTAGCTCTTTGAAATATATCGATTCATAATGAAGATGTTCACACATATTCCATACAATAGGTGAGATAAATACAGGAAATAAACGCGAGGTTCCATGCACAGTTTCGGTTCGATTTACACAGCTTTGATCAAAGCATAATCATTCTCAGTTTGTTCTTATCAAATAAGATTTGGTATTCTTTTCTAAATTAATCTTCAAATTAAAAAGCGATAAAGATAAAGTGAAAAATGTAAATCAAGTAAAGTAAACGGCCTTTCATTCGGAATCTAATTAAAAGGACGTCTGATCAATTCACGCTTGAGCATTCTAGTCTTATTTTAAACTTTATAGCGGATGGACCACTGTGAGCAGGGAATAAGTCAGCACAGAATGTGATCTGTAATCGTCCATCGTTCTGCTTGTGATAAGCTAGCCGTTGAATCATTCACTCGTCTTGCTTGTTTTGGGCTGAGTCTTATTCTAGTCAAAGAGAGAGAAAGAGTGCCTGGCAAGGTTCAGCTGAAGGTTTCCAATCAAAGATTTGTGAACTCGTGTCTGGCAAACTCAGTGTTAAAATATACGCTGTTCTACGCACCTTATAACTTCATGTAACGAGTGTCTTTTGGTCCATAACTTTCATAACAACTGCTCCGCAGAATGTCACTGATAACACGTAACGCAAAATGGTATCGAAGTGTGACTGCATAATTAATGTCACAAAATCTGCCTGTTGTAAGCTGTTCCTTCGGGATTTTTTGTGTTTTACGTCATCCTAACCATTTCGTACTTGCGGGCGCAAACAATAGAAACGTCATCATTACCTACCGATTCCTCGTGGCCCCTGTTCGAGCAAATCGAGATTTTTTCTAGTATACTGACTGCATATTTGAACTGTAAGTACTGACCTTAATATACGCGCGAGTTACTAGGGTGCCTCCTCGGGATTTCGCCTCTGGGCGAACCTGCCGGGGCAATAAATATTTTTACCATGTTATATAAATTTACGTAGTTACGTATTTATATGTATTAACTTTATATTACACCCTTTGGCCAGCTGCTGATAATGATCCAAGACATTGATAAAATAATAGAGGGAAATTACTGAAATTACGTAATCGATAAACTCACGTGTGATATTATGGAAAATAAACCACTCGGGTCCCGGATGTAGTTTTTATGAATTTTACGAGTGGTATATTTTCCAGTAAAACACTCGTGTCTAAATAATAAATTATTTTATCTTCATTCTTCGCTTCCTGTTGGATATTCAGTTCACGAAGTTATATTACCTGAGTGCTGTGCTGTTATCGTTATGTCAAATTAAAGGTTCGACTAAGTGCCGTACATGCAAGAATGAATATTTTTTCCGTCATTTTTCGTATATGGAAACAAAGCCGTTTCTATAACTGTGATGGTCTTCTTTATGTTTATTTCTTAAAGGAGAAACTAAGAAATTTATTGCACTAAGATATAACCCATGGTTCTAATGTCTTTCTCACCATTATCACCTGAGTTATGTCCCACATTTCCACACGTGTTGTCATTATTTGGATTCCCTTCAGTACTAAACCCGATTCTAGAATCGCAGGAATCACATTCGCCAAGTTCATTATTTCCCAGAATACCGATTCTTGCCCTGGAACTTTGTTCCAAAGTAGATATGGCATTGAATCCTTCCTTGTTACAGCTGAACTGCAAAGAGACCTCAGAGCCAATCAACGACTTCCACGTGTCACGACCCAGTGAGGTGCTGCGGTATTGCCCATCAGCAATCAGAGAGTACAAGGAGTTCGCCTGCTGGCTGATGACAATAAACTTGATCTGCTGGCCGATTTTCATACCGAGATAGATTTTAGAGAACGCTGTTTTCCAGTAAGATGGTATAATTTAGACTCTTGGCTGTCAAACCCAGTCTTTCCGCCGTCGAGGTTAAAGGTTTCTTTGTTGCTCCAGAGAGCGGATCTGTAGCGAAAAGTTTGCTTTTAAAGAAAAAGAGTAGTGACCATTAAATAAATATATAATTTGTTTGAGACTATTATATTGGTATAGGTCAGTTCAGCTGGGTGGCGAACTGTCTTGGTTAATGTCATAAAATTCTCCAAAAGCCGTCCGAGGCGTATGTATTTTATGGGATGGCTTATTATGGAAGAGATATTTTGCGCCTTAAATTAATGCAGTTGAGAAAAAAAGGCCAGTCTTTATCAACTGAGGACAAACTTAAAAAGCTTGTACACTGACAACGTTGGGTTACTTTGTTGCCGTCTATCTTCATGACCGGTGTCTATGCTCCACCTCCACATCCAAAATCTCCAAAGCGGGTTGGTCAAAGGACCCCAAGATCTCTCCACATTATCTACGCCACTTCAATTATGGCCTTTTTCCCCATTAAATTGTCCTTAAATTTTTATCTACCTGACTGTTTTTGTCTCTGTATACGAAGTTATACATGAGGCCCCGGTTGTTCAAGCGATGAATAACAATATTTCACTGGATAAATCAGTATGCATGCACTGTACTATGGTCGAGCAGTAGAGAAATTAAAAAGCAATTGCGCTATCCACTGGATACATTAGAGAATTATTCAGCGGACACATCCACCTTTTAAACAACTGGGGCCTGTGGGTTTTAGTTACCTATTTCGCAAAATTCACCGACAAATCCTTCATTACAAAGGTAGATAGACGTGCGATATTTGTAGTTTGGCAAGCAGGTTCCTCCGTTTAGGCATCGTGAAAGCACACATAGAGTCTGTAAGAACAAGGTCATCTTTATCAGCTTATTACACATAATAATTTCAAGCAAAACTCGCTATAATTTTTCTTTTGTATTAAAATCATGGAGCTGTTAATTTGTGCGTGGCAATGTGAAATTTGTTACATCTGAATTGATTGACTGGAAGTATTCATTAATCAAAATGATTTTCTCTGAAATGTGCAACTGTGCATTAACCATTTTTGCATTTTGGTATTTCGCACCCTTCATAAAATTAGCTTCTAACATATAATAATTGGCAACGAACTTTTGATTGGTGTGTAAGCATGTATCCGTGCATGGTTAACATCTATTTTTCTTCGTCACTGTGCTTTTGTTAACAATTGTATGCGTAACTCATGCAGCGGACAAAACGTTTTTTGATTAAAATGTAACAGCTGCAGTATCTAGCGTCCCCACAATGGCTGTCTCTTTATTAAAGCTTTTGCTAGTGTGTTCTTTAGTCTTTAATATTTCCATAGTGCACCTTAACGAAGAAATGATGCCAGCTTTTGTGCCTTTTATACTCCTCGTGCTTCCTGAACTTTTCTGAAGACAGCAATTCACACCACAACTTTCCATCTGCTCCTTTGTAAGCGGCCAGGTTGATGGAAAAACAGAAAGGATTACCAAGACATTCAAAAGTGCAGTCAAGGTTGTCATACACAGTGAATGTTCCAACTTTAGACACGTTTAAGTAATGGTACTCTTCCTTTATGAAGAAATCTTAACGAACATCATGATAAGGATGGAACAAGTTGTCAAATTCTACTAGAAAAAGATGTTTTAATTTAGCTTTAATTGTGATCGGGAAAGGTAAAATGACCGCCATAACCACGACAGTAGCTTATCAAAAGCAAATTACAAGTGAAAATGCGTTTTCCCCCATTATTTTTGCCAATTTTATCCTTGGCGAACAAAGCAGTGAAATGTAAGGTATATAGGACGTTGCACTCTGTACTGCTTACCAGACTGTTAATTCTGTAGTAAAGGCTGTCGCGACACTGCCGGGAACCAGTGCCTGGGTACTGGAACAGAATGGTGTCGTGTACACACTGATTTCTCATTGGTACGTATTGACTCCATTTTGCCCTGTCAGACGCCATTTTGAAACATAAGGCCAGCGTCGTCGAGTGCAATTCAATGGACTACTCCAGACTGACTAACAAAAACAGTGTGCACACAGGGACCCGGTTCCCACTTTTGGCCCGCACCTTAGCATATTATTCTTAAAAAACAAGGGTTGGTTCGCATTAGTTGCCTGAGTGAGTACCGTAAAGGCACTACAGTGGTGGGCCCATAGGAAGCAAATAGCTGCAACCTTAGAACTCAACTTTTGCGCTTTTTATTTGTTTGAGCTCAAACTTTGCAGGATGGTAGAACTTTGCGTTGAGAAAAAAATCCTACGTTTTTTGTTTTTCGATTTTAACGGTTTTTGGTGGGAAAATGACGTCACAAGATTGACAGCAAAATTAAAATTTCAAGATATGGCATAACAAATAAATAATTTTAAAAAAGCACGACGTTATAGAATGTATAGAATGTGAATTTTTTTTTCAAAAACTCGGGAAAAAAAAGGGAAAAGGGATATTAGCTATCAGGTTATTTAAAAACTCAGCATGGTATTGCAAGATTCACTCATTGTCATCATCGAATTAGATAAAAAATATATATATAAATAGAGTAAAATAAAAGATATTGAGCAGATCTTCCTATATCCTCTCCTTATGGTTCTTGAATATTATAAAGCTTTTATCTTTTAGGATCTTTTTGCGCTGATATTGATTGTCACAGCAGGAAACCGACTCATACTAAAGAAACATAAGCGAACCAATATATTTTTGAACACGGGAGGATGCTTCAATAATTTATTTGGCATCTGTTTCAAATGAATAGTTCACATACAATATTAGATTTAAAAAAAAAATTTAAAGAAATTTTAAAAAAATTTCAATAAAAGTTACGTTCAAATCAGCTTAATTTAAAAATATCGCATTTCTGATCCGGCACTACATATGACCGCGCATATAATCTGCACCCATGTTATTTTGCTAACCTACGGCTGAACCCACAGAAAAATAGTCAGTAAACATTGGGCTTAACGAACGGGTAAATTTTTTTTTCAGTTGTGTACTGTAGTGTCGTAAACAACTGATTATGATCATTTACCTAGTCCCGGCTATTTGTAAAAAAAAAAAAAATCAACAAACAAACAAAATAAATAAATAAAAGAAATATTAGTAAATCAACTGATCTGAAAGGACATTAACCCTTTACTGCCAAATGTGGCCAAAGGCAAATTTCGACTAAAGTTCCACATTTCATTTTCTAAAATTTTGAGAAACAAATGGGATCATGTGAAAGTACAGGCAGAGAGCTTTCATTTGAATGGTCACATACCCTTTCACTGCCAAATGTGGCCAAAGGCAAATTTCGACCAAAGTTCCACATTTCATTTTCGAAAATGTTGAGAAACAAATGGCATCATGTGAAAGTACAGGCAGAGAGCTTTCATTTGAATGGTCACATCATAGGATTTCTTCCATAGGATTAAAATTTAAAGCCACCTTACAAAACCCCATCAAACAATCTCGCAGTGAAAGGGTTAAAACGAAGTCTACATTAATTTTACACACTTACTTTGTACTTGAGCATCCATTGCCTAAAGCATCACAAAAAATAAAAACCTGGGGTAGTTTAAGAGGAGCAACATGGCCCATTACGAGAAAAGTTGACAAGATCGTTAAAGTTTTGCCGTTACTCAGGCCAATTTGACGAGTTTTTCGAACCAAGTGAAGGCTTATGTCTTGTAAAGTGAAAACTAAACGAGATAGAACTATCCCTATTAAATTTTACTAAGTTTTTCCTTTAATAAGTTTGGGCTTCAGCCAATGGTGACAGTAGGGAACTTAACAACCACGACGACGACTTTGTCGACGACGACCGGAAGTGAGATACCGTGCACTGCGCAAGCGCGTTTAACAAATTTCGTCGTCGTGGTGTCGTCGACGACGCCAAACACAGTAGAGTCACGTCGTCCTGCAGTCCACAAGCTTCGACAGGTATAACTCCCTATTTTTAAGCGATTTTTCAAAGGCTTTGTATTTTTTCACCTCGTAAATCCAGGTATCCTTTCTTTTTTCTGCTAACAAGCGATGTTGATTGAAAATTTGACTGATGAATTGTGTTTACTTCGAAGACAACACTGAGCTGTGCAGGCCGAGCGAGCGAACTCGTAAGTGACAAATTTATTTGTACGTATTTAGGTCAAGCAAATCATATATCTTTAACATAGAGGAAATGAACTTTATATGGAAAACAGCTATCGCATCGGAATGTCTCTTTTTCCAAATCTAAACTCTGACAGACAATCGGACTCGGTCATGTCATTCAGGTTGAAAGTTGTATAACCTTCGTACGGAAAGCAGAGATTTTTCCATTCGAAAAGGTCAGACGTACGGCTTATAAAATAAGATCTTACATCGTCTTAAAAGACGCCTTTGCGAAAAAACTTTGTTGCGAACGAACATCACAGTTGTACTACTTCTACATGTTTCTTTACATTCAGTGTCGTCGTCGTCGACCTACCGATCGACTGCATCTTAAGTTTCCTTTTTCCCGCCGAAACTGACGTTCTCGTTCCAGTCCTTTCCCAGTCAACAGACGTCGTCGTCGTGAACTTCGTCGTGGTTCTTAAGTTCCCTAGTGTTTGCTCTATTAGCTCACCTTTTCATATAAGCTTACAAACGAGCGTCAACAGAAACCCAGTCTGAATTTAATGAAATGTCATCAGAACAGCAGTCTTGCCTGCTGAAATTAACATGAGAGACACGGCTAGTATAACAATTGGTCATTCCAAAGGTTCTTCATAACCAGCCAAGCAGGAAGTCCATAATTTAAGATTAGTTACATCAAGCCATCTACTGAACATTCATACGATTATCCTAGGCAAAGTGAGAGATTGAACAATATGTTTAACCAGGAGCCGATTAACTAATACAACGTTCTGAAAAACTATCTAATTTTATTATTTCTTGTAATAGCATTGATTCCCGTTAGGTCTCTCTATAATCCAATTTTTACATGTAGCAGCTTCAGTTTTTCTAACTTATATTAAGTATACAATTATAGTTGTTTTTACATAATTAGATAATTGTACAATATATAGTTTTGCATGCGCGGAAGAACGTTCGCAGGTTTTTCGGGCTCGATGTTTGTCTAGTCTGTCTAGTTCACAACTGGTAACACTCAAAATATCTCACCGCCTTGTGTAGCCCAGTTACAACGCTTTTTTTGGAGTCAAATATACATATCACCTCGCTTGTAAGAAACCGATAGGCCGGTATGGCACTCAGAATGCAATTGCAGAGAAACCCCCTGTCCTATAATGTTTTACCCTGCGAGCAGACGAAACAAAACTTTGTTAAGTCCGTCTACGAAACAGCGCCGAAATCCTTGTTCTGCCCCCCTCCCCCCGCACCTGTATACCAGGATTTGAGAACGCGTGATTGGCCACTTAAAAAAGCCATTGTCGGATTTGCCAATCAGGTTGAGAGGAAATTCGAAACGCACTTTCGGTAACTCGTTGAGTCTGTTGGGTTCACAGAAAACGGATCTCGGCGCAACTTCGCAGACGTTACTAACCGAGGTTAAATTACGTCTGCCACGCGCGCAGGGTAATCTACTAAGTGGCCAGGACAAACCGCCTTAGCTTGTTCTCTGACCTGCCAAATGCGGAGGGATTTTTAATACGTTTTGCGTGTTCATAGATCTAAGATCCCAATTACCCACATGCATGTACATGACGGAAGAGGCCAGTGACGATCATCATGCATACTTTAGGGTTAGCAATGAAACACTCATCTACCGGAAAACAAACGTTTAAAATGTAAAAAGGGAAATCTGATTATACACTTATAGACCACATCAAAACGAACCTATCACTTCTGCCTAGAAAGAAACAAGGCTTGCATCAGAATACGCACATTCACGCTACGGTACAGGCAACTGAATACCAGATAGACCTGCTGGTTGAGGACGTTGGAACACTGGCTTCTCGTTTCGTGATGCTGACTTAGGGGGTCTTAACATGGGGGGAGGAAGATCCCAGAAGGCGGATCATCCTAGTGCCATATCTTTTCTGTATTCAGTTTACATGCAAAGCGTTGAACTTGTCCTAGGCGCTAGCATCTTCCTGGCACTAGGATCTTCCCAGCTTAGCGGAAGGTCAAGTGCCTAGCTCCATAATTTGAAGAAAGCGGACCTTCTAGGATCATGTCCCTTGTTTGGTAATTTTATACCACCACTCAGGAAGTCGACCATGAGTGCTGTTATTTCCGGCTGTTAAAGCAAATGGCAATGATGCTCGACTATTAACTGATGATTCTACCACTTCACCTGCTGCTGATGTAAGGTAGTTATTTAAGCCAGCAACGAGAGCAGAAGGGCCCATATTGCATGTTTGTTATTAAATTAAGTCTTTAATTGGCATCCACACAGACCGAAATTCCGGCTTATAGGATCTTCCTTGAGGTATATAGGATCTTCCTCCCTCAACAGGGGAACGGTAACACTTAGGGTTACTCCCTACAATGACCTGATCGCGTGGAGGAAGGTTCCGCCAGAATTTCAGGCTTCAGGTTAGGGATTTCACTAGCTGAAGTATGTAGAATTTCGATAGAATTTCACCAGTTGAAGTATGTAGAATGATAGGGTGAAAAC